GTGTGTGTGTGTGTGTGTGTGTGTGTGTGTGTGTGTTCGCCTATCTATCTATCTATCTATCTATCTATCTATCTATGTTTTCGTTTTTGTGATTGTTTATGGGTAAGGATCAATTTTTTTTTCATGCAGTACTGTTATGGTTCCATGGCCCTAGATCTGTTGAAACCACTTCGCCTAAATTGTAGGTATGTTTGCAGTTTTTGGTAACATTGCCTGAGGTAAGAAAGGGGTGTATTTGTATTGTTTCTTCTTTGTTGACTTTCTAGTAAGTTTCTACAAATCAGTTGTGCGGCCGCTGCAAATAGATTGTAGCTAGAACTAGTTTGAAAACCTTGAAAATAAGGATGTAAAACTTGTAGTCAGCAAGTTTGAAACCTGCGTAGCACCGTGTTCATGTTCGGAGGCGAATGCGAACATGTTCGCCCGAACGCGAACAAGCGCCCCAAAACCTCTGAACACGAACATAAAAAATATTAAAAAAAAAAAAAAACAGGTTCTCAGAAAAATCTGGAACAAATATATGTTATGTAAAATCACAATGCAAGCAATGTTTTCCTTGGAGTCATGTTCAAGTTCATAGCCAATCATGAGTTAAAAATCAAAAACCGAATTTTTATTTATTTATTTTTTTTACCGAAAAAAATTATGTTCGCGCCAACATGTTCGCGAGCTGTTCACGCGAACGTGAAGGGGCGCGAACACGTTCGTCGTGTTACGCAGTTTGAAACTTTGGACAAATGACATAGATGCAGTAGTCGTAAAAGTATCAAGATTACCATTAAGTTTACTTACTCGTGATCACCAAGTTTCACAAGTGTCTTGACAATGACGTAACTATGCAGTAGCATCAACTGTCGCACAAGTTCTGATGGTGGGCTTTTTCCCTGCTTTTGCAGTTCTAGGTACGTTTCCAACAATTGTGTATGTGCCAGCTTGTAGTTACCCAGCTCCTGTACGAGGCATCCCATGCCACATAAATGCATTGGGTCAGCACATAACCGACACCATGACATATGGGTTGGCTAACAAAATAGTAAACATGTTGTAGAATCTCAATTGAACTCCACTTTGTGCAACCATTAGTTCTTCACAGACTATCCCTCTCTTCCAAACCCCATGCCATCAATGCACACAATCGATTCAAGGATGGTATAACCATATCGGGGTCGTACATGATTGATTTGTTGATCGGACCTTATGGTACAATTGATCTATCAGCAGCACACATTGAGTGAAAAGTGATCACTTTGCCTTTCGGTACGTGTTTTGATTTCATATTAGCAGGTTGCAGGTTCGATCCCTAGGGTGGGCGATTTCATGCATTCAAGTGATTTGGCTTGTGCTTGAAGGCAATGATTACCCAATGAGCTGTCTTTTTTTTTTTTTTTTTTGTCATCCTCTCATTTTTACATCTTTGGGCGAGTCATCCTCTCATATTTAGAGGTCATATTGACCTTGTGGTCGTAGAAAAGGACAGGAGACACGTAGAATGCAGGAATATATGATGTGTGAGTGATGTACTTGAGTAGAACACATATGGTGTGTATTCAAATTTCCAACTTCCAGAGAGTTATTTATTCAAACAAGATGTTTCTTGAGAAAGTTATATTTGAATAAGGCATCACCTCATAGTGTTGTCTTTTAGTGAGCGGCTGCAGACGAGGTTTTCGTTGTCTGATCCTTGTGCTGATCGCTTCTATTGATTGCACTGAGGACGATTTTAGAGTCTGTGGAATGGACCATTATAGTCGCTCCTCAATTTTATCCGTTCAAAGAGTCATAGTGTTAGATCAGATCGTTTCGGTGATTGCTGCCCTTCATTGCATTGAGGATGATTTTAGAGTCTGCAGAACGGAGCATTGTAGTCGCTCTTCAATGTTATCAACTTAAACTTCAAAGAGTTGTAGTGATAGATCAGATTGTTGTGGTAATTGTTGCCATTGATTGCATTGAGGACAATGTTAGAGTCTGCGGAATGGAGCATTGTAGTCGCAGCAAGTGTTATAGCTTCTAAAGTCAAGAGCAGTAGTCACAATTTCACGCTAGTGTATACAGTACTATACATATTACATACTTGTTCTTGGCGAGCAATGATGACTGCTGTCTTGGCTGCCTGATCATAGTTCCCAAGGGCCATGTGCAGGCGGAACAAGTAGTTATGGTTTTTCTCCATACCATCCATTTCTCCCATTAGAAAGTCTGCCAGCTGGCTGGTCAGGGAATCATCATTTAGCTTCCCAACCATTGCAATTGCCTACAAAACAACAACAAATTTTAAGTCATCACAGATTAGTGCATACAGCAGGAGATAAGCCACACAACTTTCACAATTAAGTAGATCTTCACTACCTTGCTATGGCCCTCGTCTCTTTAGGTAAAGTTGCCATTAGTGTGAGGCTAGGAACAACCATAGATTTCAAACCACGTGTACCTTTCCCCGCTTGAAAAACAAATACGCAGCTCATTTACAGCCGCATTTTTCACGGGTTCGCGTACCGGACTGAAATGGTTGGCGGGGCCAGTGCACGGGGCGAATTTAGGCTCGACATCAATAGTTGGGCGGGGTACTGATGGTTCAAAATGAAAAAAGTGTGTACACAGCCTGAACAGGTTTGCAAATGTAAAGACTAGCACGATTACTAGAGCGTGATCTACACCCTGATGTGCAGGTGTCCACGAGCGTTTAAACTGAAAATAACACTTTTTCCCTTTTAAACACAAAGGGAATATTTTTGTCCTTACACCCTTCAGAATAGTTGCATTCAGGCACCTTCTTGCCATGTCGCACTTTAGTTGTCCATGTGGAAACCGTGGCTCTTCCACCTTGCCTTTTTGATTGTGCTTCAATCAAATACACCAGTACAACTACATGATATCTCATTTTTGACACACTGCACTTCAACATAACCAATAGCTAGCAGAATCCTTCTTTGGTTGTTGTCAGCAGCAGCAGCAGCAGCAGAAGTAGGAGCAGTAGTAGCGCTGGTGGGAGCAGTAGTGGTACCAGTAGTGGTAGCAGTAGTAGTAGCAGCAGCAGTAGCAGCAGCGGTAGCAGGAGCGGCAGCAGTGGCAGCAGTAGCAACAACAGCAGGAGCGGCGGCAGCAGCAGCTGTAGAGATAGTAGTAGTAGTAGCAGCAGCAGCATCGGCAGCAGCAGCAGTAGTAGTAGCAGCAGTAGAAGTAGTAGCAGTAGTAGCGCTGGTGGTAGCAGTAGTGGTAGCAGTAGTGTTAGCAGTAGTAGTAGCAGCAGCAGTAGAAGGAGCAGCAGCAGTGGCAGCAGTAGCAACAACAGCAGGAGCAGCAGCAGCGGCAAGAGCAGCAGTAGCAGCAGCAGCAGCAGTAGTAGTAGCAGTACCAGTAGTAGGAGGAGGAGCAGTAGTAGTAGTAGCAGTAGTAGTAGTAGGCGCAGTAGTAGTAGTAGCAATAGTAGTAGTAGCAGCACTAGTAGTAGTAGTACTGCTAGTACTGCTCCATAGTGATCTTTCAGCTTCCCACTTTCATTGATTTCACACGCAGTGTCTTTTTTTTGCTGAGTTCCAGATACACATAAACAAAAACCGATAGTACTCGCAATGTATCCTGCATAAATACAAGGAGGATGCATAGCCAATACGGGGTCTTGTAGTACAGAGTTGAATTCTTTTCCCGAGTCAGTGCTTAATAAGGAAATTCGAAGAAAAGACTTGGAGGTTAAACATAAAAAAACAGAGAAGAATAAAGCAATCCATTTGTGAATCATGAGAGGGCCACCAGTCAAGGCAACTTCGTTGTGAGTTCGAAAACAAAAGACAAAACCATAAAGACTCAGGATCCAACACCATAATAAGAGACTACCTTCACAATTCGACCAAGTTCCGGAAACCACTACTGCTGCTACTGCTGCTACTGCTGCTACTACTGCTACTACTACTACTGTATTTTACGCCCCAGGGCTGACCTCGACGGGATAATCAGAGCAAGGTGGATGAGGCACCTGAATGTGGGCAGGGATGCACTAAAAACTATAAGACCCGGGAACTTCAAGGCCAGAGCGTCTAAGACAACATCACTACAGTGCCAAATAATGCATCGCTGTGTCCCCACCAACAGCTGGCTAATTGATAGAACCATCCTGGAGCAACAAGGTAGGGCCCTTCCATGGTGCAAGCTCTGCACATCCAGGTACCCGGCGGGAAAGATACCGGAGACAATCGAGCACAAAATGCTGCAATGCCCGGGGGCGGTTTGGACGTGGCGCTGGTGGGATCGCATATGGAGCCAATTGGGCACAGGGACGCGGTGGCCTTGGGAGTGGCAAGCCCTGCTTTGTGGGGCATGGCACCCGCAGCAAGCCAGCACCTTTGCCACCAATACGTTTGAGGTGGGGCGTAGGGCCCTGTTGTGGGCTCTTTGGTGGAGACGCTGCACTTTCGAAAGGGACAGCGTGCGGCTTGAAGGGCCTGAGTATACAGAGGGGATCAGACAGCAGGTGAGAGGAAATGGATTTGGCCACTCAATGGAGCAAAGTGAAAGAGAAAGGAACATATGCACTCTTGGGAGGGTAGATGCAGTTCTGGGTGGGTAGGAATCGCGGGTAGCCATGGCTGCCCCTCATAGCTACACTAACACACTAACACACACCGTCACAGCACAGCACAGGCATGCAGCCCAGGTATCAGGTGGAATGCCGCCGTTAGGGCTTAAGGGCTTAAGGGTTTAAGAGCTAAAAGACCTGGCAATAGGTGGAACGACGGCCAACAGGTTTTAAGGGTCCAACAGTTTCACTGCAGGACGGTCAGAGTCAGACGCAGGGGGCATGAACTGGGTGAACTGGGTGGTGTGAAGACAAATTTGCAGTTCGGACAACGAGGAGGGACTACTTACGCTTTGTCTGATACGACCTGCCTGTTAAATAACTGACTCACGTACAGGCATATACCATAGAACACACACTCTCGAACATACTCAGCTACACACCTCAACTACACCTCACACAGTACAGGCATATAGGTACACACCTCAACCACATCTTATACAGTACATCGCACTAGGGAACAAACAATACACTCACGAACATCCTCAACTACACACCTCAACTACACCTCACACAGTATAAGCCATTGCGTGTTGGCACAAGTACAGCTACAGATAGCTACAGACATAACAGAATAAGTTAATAAGTATATAGATGATAACTGACAGGCAATACACCATAGAAAGGTCGGGCTCTCTACCGCCCGGCCCCCTCATGCATATTGACAACTCTTGCTTGCATGTTTTCATTCATCTCATTCATCACATTGTACATTACAGGGACACTGGCGTCGCTGGGCCCGACTTCCAGCAGGTGTTGCTCCCCACCAATAGATGGAGCTTCCCCGAAGGTACTGGTGGTGTCTGCTCCTATCAGCACCCCCAGTAACCGCTCGGGTTGTTTTTTTAAAAAAAAAAAAAAAAAAAAAAAAAGAAGCAACAGTACACGAAAAGAACGATATTAAAAAGATAATTTAATATTAACCAATTTGGGTTAGACTGGCTGGGGCGAGAATGGGGGGTGGATGGCCAAGGTGGAATGGGCGGGGGGGCAAAAAGAGGAAGACTGGTCACATCCCATCCGGGACTACAAGCTGACCTTCAGTGAATGGACCAAGATCGGAGGAGACATCCCCATGCCACCGCCCTCTGATTTTCCTGATCCTTTCCCCCCGAGTGCCCTTACCGTGGTTGAAATGTCCTGGTATTGGGGGGAGTTAGGGCTCAGTGGGTTCTGGAGTATGGCAGCAGAAGTGTGGTGCAACAGAAGCGGCTAGGGACACCCCTTCCAAACTGGCAGCCCAACGGAGGGCCGGAGAGGCTGCTGCTGCTGCTGCAGTGTGGACTGAAATGTGGTTAAATGTGCTTATTTAAAGTTATTTAAACTTATTTTGATATTGATTTCGGCTGTTCTCAGCTGAGTGCTGGGTGATGGCCCAGGGGTCTTTGATCAATCTGTACATTTTATAAGGGACGCTGGGGTCGGTTCCCAGCACGTGCAGCTTCCCACTAATAGATTGGAGCATTTTTTTCTTGTATAAAAAGAAAAAAGAAAGAAGGGGGTAAAGGTGGGCCAGGGTATTGGTTCCATTGTGGAAACAGCGGCCATAAGGAGGCACAATCCTTTTGACAGCAACCCACGGGCATAGGAGCTGAATCTGTAGGCCTTTGTTCATCCTCCGGCCACAAGAATGATTCGAGATGTTCGCAAGTTCGCACATTAAATCCCTCCTTGAAGCCATTTTTTTAATCAAGGACAGGTTCCCACTCCCTCTACTTTCTTCTGCTTGGTTTCCTGTGTAGGTGCAAACAACAGCTTTTGCCTTGCAACATGGCATGTTATAGCTCCAGAGTCCATACTACTTGCGAAGTGTGGCACACACAGTTTGAACTGCCAGTGGTCTCCCGTCTCTCTTTCCCGATCCAGGTTTTTTTTTTTTTTTTTCCCGTCACTACGGAATTTGAATCATAGCGGCATGCGATTGCCTGGCGCCACCAACCTTTTTACGACAAAACAGGGCTGGACAGGCACTCCGAGCCTTTCCACGGCCCCGTGTTAGCTGCTGGTGGGCATTTTTTCAAAGGTTGGGACGACAACTGGCGCTTTAAGAATAACCGGCAAATTTGCAAAACAGCATTACACTGACAAAAACAGCATGCCAACATTGCCAAGCCCCATTTGGTTAGGAACTCCTAAATGCAATCCTTGATGCTTTTACCCTTCCCCCATACTCCTTCCCCCCTTGATGCTTTTACCCTTCCTCCATCCTCTCCCCCCCCCCCCCCCCCCAAGCCCCACTCCACCACATCCTATATCATGCCAGAACTTCTCAGAACAATATATATATTTTGACTATGCATCCACACATCAATTCTTACTGCAGTTCTACTTCTGCTTTACAATTGGTGTCTGGTGGCCTCGCTGGCCCTCCACAGTTTGTGGTTTGCTGTGCAGCTGGTATGTTCTTTGCACTGCTGTGTTTCTGGCCTTTCCACCACCAACCCCCAATTTTCCTAAAATGACTCAGAAGGAGAAGAAGTGTTACGCACCTTCTCAATGTCCTGAGGAGTACCATACCGTAGATACAGCTTCAATGCTTGCTTGGGCTGTCCACACTTCTGGTACATATCAGCGGCACTTGTGAAGTTCCCCTTGGATTCATAATACCTGTATGTGTATGCATGTGTAGTTAGAACACGGCCATTACTCTACGGCATCATTCCCTTGCACATTTTTTTATTTTTTTTGTTTTTAATTTGGACCATTTCTCGATTTATGCGTGTCATCCTTGCGCAGGGGCCATGCTAATCTTCTTTCTCTGTATCGTTCCAATTTTAACAGATGTCCCGAAGGACACCCCTTGCACATTATTAGTCCGGTAGAAAGAATAAAACAAGAAGGCCTCATACACACCCAAGCATGTGAAAAATAGCTGTCCTGCTCGTCACCAGGGATATCCCCTGACTATTCATTCCCATGCTGCATCATCCCAGAATAGAGGTATTCATTCCCATGCTGCATCATCCCAAAGACTGAGTAGCATTGAGGAGAAGGTCTGTAGCATGGGTGTGGCCATGTTTTTCTACGACGTGGTTACACTGCGATATTAAACCTCTGACTACATTGCAGAAGCAGAAGCAAGAAGTGACACACGACGCTTGAACATGACATGCAAGCACGACGCGTAGCAATCGAGTAATCCCGGCTCCGAAAATGCCGTAAAATTAGCGCAAACGCGCAAAACGCCACCAACAACGGTCCACAACACCCAGAAACCACCGATCTTGCCGTCAAACCCGACGAGTCACGCAACGCTGCTGACTCCTTTCGGTGTGAACACCGAAGAGTCTTCTCTCTCTACAAGCTCGTCGTCTGGTAAATCGCGGTGCATTTCTGACCTCGGGAGCATTTGTCATCAACCAATCATAGGCAGTTGGATCCAGGATCTACCGTCTTCACCCGAATAGAACGCCCGGTCATTATAGCCGTATTTGGTGCACTTTTCAGTCCAGAATCCAGGTACAGCTATAATAACCGGGCGTTCTATTCAGGTGAAAACAGTAGCATCCGAACCTGGGTTGACAACATGGTTAGAACCAGTCTGCTGCTGGATGTGCCTCCATGCCATGGCTACCGTCTTCGCCCGAAAACACCCGGTCATTGTCGCTGCATCTGGTCTGAAAGTTGGCCCAAACACAGCCATAATGACCGGGCGTTCTATTCGGGTGAAGACGGTAGCATGAAACCCTGAGGTGAGAAAATGGTTATAAGTTAGAGCCAGTCTGCTGGATGTCCCCATGTCATGTCTAGCATCCAACCTGCTGACGTTACAACATTGTCCGGACGAGGCTGTCTGATGGATCTGCCTTCGTCCGTCGGCTAACGGAGAAGAGACTAGTTTAAACCACAGGTACTTTTGACCCTTCCCTTGCCAAGCCTCGAAAAAACACACTGCGTGCCAAAAAAAACGAAGCGGCGTGCGGGCCTTCTTTTGGCCAGCGCCACCAGCCATTTCACCCCGGTAGGCCGACCCCCGAAACTTGCAGCGTGCATGCAGCTGTGTCACAGAAAAAATGGCTGGGGAACGTACTGGTGGTTTAAACCACTAGTACGCGGCCCCAGCCTTGCAGTCCAAAACTTGTCGCCACAAGAAAACGAGGCCGAAACGTCAAACACTGGGCCTGCCGTTGATCAATTGGATCTGCGGTCGCGTTTTCGTTTCGCGCTTCCAGAATTCGAGGTGTCAGGCCCGCGGCCCAGGTACGCATGTACTGGTGGGTTTAAGGGAGGAAATGGAAACCTACCTTGCCAACTTTGTGTACTCCTCGTGTTGGGCACTGTCGCCAAGGAATTTTGCATATGTGTCCATCTCGTCATGTTGCTGTGCAAGTTCGAATCCCTCCGCATTCCTGCAGTTAAGGAAGATCGGTAAGCAAGCACACAAGAAAAAAGCATAAGCTGAAAGCAGGCATGACAAGATCATGCATGGGCTAGATAGATTGCAGAAAAAGCATGGTTGCGCCATTTCTATCACCACGAGGGCCAGATGATTAGTAGCAGGGATAGTGTTGAGACTCAAGAGGCTCCGGCTGAAAGAGGCAGACAAGTGAACTCCTCTCTCTCTCCCTTCTACCCCAAAACTTGCATCCTCCCCCCCCTTTAAACTAAAGCCGTGGTTCGCTCAAAGGGACAAAGACAAAGGGTCCGTCCACAGAGGACGTTATCTGAACAAGAAAATGTACTTGCCAAAAGGGGCAGGGGGGGGAATGGGGGAATCAACTTTGTTAAAAACTTAAACCACCAGTACCCTTCTCAGCTATAGATGCCAAGCCTAAAATCGCCGTGCGCGCCGGAAAAAAAAAAACGAACCAGCGTGGGACTCCTTTTGGCTGGCGCCGCCAGCCATTTCGGTCCGGTGGCACCGAACCCCGCAGGCCTCCCACGTTACCCGGCAAAATAGCTGGGAAAGGTACTGATGGTGTAACAGGAGGCTTGCAGAGAGGGTCACCACTGACTCGCCAGAGACAATTCTACCGAATTTTTTATGAAATAATTGGAGATAGTTCTTTTTAGTTAGTCAAGTTCAGAAGGCTAAATGGGGTTCTGTATGTTTTTTGAAAAAGTGGTTCTTTTTCGGGAGGCCTGGCAAGTGGTGTGGGTGTGACTGACAGTCAAATTAGTCAATCCTTCCTAGAGGAAGCAATCCATGCTGTCAGGGTTCCCCGGGCCGTAACATGGAGATGTGTTATGAATGGGTATTATTTCGGTTCTACTCATCATTCAGGTTCCATCATCTGGATGGGTTCGAACACGGGTCTGTATTTCAACAGTTCAATGGTGTACCCACTGAGCTTGGCTCTTGGGTTTGAGTGGGTATTATTTCATTCAAGGGACGCTGGACCTGTTTTCCAGCAGGTGTGCAGTAACCCGTGTTCTGCAGCAGTCTGGGCCCTCTAAACAGAGTTGAGACGACGCAGGCCAAACTCAGCCTGCGCCAGGCAGTGTGACCACACACTGGCCGTGGGAAGTCAAAAGTCTAAGTCGACTGTCAGGTCAAAGGTACTGCGCCCAGGCTCTTGGTCGGATACACTCACTTGTCGTGCGCAGGTACCCAGACAGCATCAAGGCCAGAAGGAATTCGGTTTCAGGCCAATCTAGGCCGTCATTAGCATTGAGATCTTGACGGCTGAGGGATGCAGCATCCGGGGTCCAGACCCCGTATCAACGCTACTTAAGCGCTGACTTCCTGACTTTGAGATTCATTCGGTCTTGCGTCAATGCTGACTTCACACGTTGACAACGACGCTGGCTCAACGCTGCGACGCTGGCTGGATGCTGGCTTTGCGCTGGCACTTGGGTGACTACGGCGGCGCGCTGCTGGCTCGGCATGGTGGCTGGCTGGTTATTGTCTTCAGGGCATGCTGACGTGGCAGCTGCCACGCGTCGCTGCTGACGTGGCCACTGCCACGTGTACTGTTGCTGACATGGCTGGGCTACGTGACTGGCACTGCTGTTCTGATTCATCGTCACTCGAGAGGAGGTCATGACTGTGGGGCGATCGTGGACACGTACCTGGTTATCTTGAGGTTGACATTGCTCCAGTACGCTGATGAGGGACTGATCGACGTGCCATGTGGCACATTGTAATAGAACTTCAGATGTGCGTTCAGACTATTGATTATTTGAGGTGGTGATCGAGGAGGGAGCCCGAAGCAGAAGTGGGCATTTGTCTTATATTCTTCTTCTAAGTCTAATCTCCCTCCTCTCTCCTTCGTCTGTGTATGATTCTCCCATCTCATTCTATCTGGACACAATTATGATTATTGATAATCATCAGCAGGTTGATATTCATCTGGGCTTGCATTGTTGACAAGTGTCTTCACGATCTGGGTTCATTGCAGGTGATGCTCCCCACCAACAGAAAGGATCCGCTTATTTGAAAAACAAAAAGATAGAAAATAGGGAAGGGAAAAGAATAAGAATACTCCAAACCACACATGGGGGAAGATTACCTATCATCGTATTGGCGACATACGACTGAATGACATCTCGAACCGCTACAGCCTAAATATGCAGAATGTGCTCGGAAAGCCAACCTGAAAATGTGGTCCTCTCCGTACTCTTCTGTTGGGAAGCCAAATGGTTTGGGGACAAAGCTCTGGGACCCTGGGACTCTGTCACTCCCTCTCCCCCCCTTCCTCCCCCCCCCTCTTCCTCCCCCCCCCTCTCCCTCTCCCTTCCATCCCTGCAGATTCTGCTAACACTCAATGTCTGGACATCACTACTGAAACCTGAAAGGACTTGTTTGAGCTGATATAGAAGGCGACTTTGTATTCAAACTTGAGTCTGTTTTTTTTTGTTTTTTTTTTGTTACACACAACACTCACACAGCCCCTTCTATTGTGGGGGATGACAGTTCAGTTGCTTATCACCGGCAAGCATGAAACAGAGAGGAAGAAAGAGTAGAGGGGGGACCAGTGGCTGGTACTGGAGGCCCTGGCGTCCCAGACTGGGATCCGTCAGTAACCGCTGTGCTTCAGCTGAGAGGAGAGGGAGAAGGATCAGCAAGCAGGAGATCTTGGGGGTATCAAGCGTTTACTGACCTTCACCCTTCTTGTCTCTGCATAACCACAGTCATTGCAGGTCTGCACGACCTTTATGATCATGTAGGACCGTTTTTAACTTAATATCTAGAGCAAGTCATGCTGGCCACCTTGGCTATGATTAAGGTTTCTGCAGCGATTCAAGCCTTCTAGCCTCTTGCACACCGAACACCTGCATGAGATGCTCAGAGCAGGTCTGTATTCCAACAGTTCATGGACCAACTGAGCTAGGCCCGTTGGTAAGAATGCTTCATCCCTGAGATCCATCCACAGCCCACATCTGCTAAGCGGCTCTCGGCCCTGTTCGGCTGTCTGATATCCAGATCATACCTAGAGCGAGATAGACCAGAAAAAAAAAAGGGGTCTTGGCACGTCTTTGGAGGGTTGTGGAATAGAGTTCAACTCATTCCTACTCTTTAGTGACGAGCGAAACAGTGCAAGCAGGAGGGACACATGCCAATTCGGATCTTCATTAAGGGGTTTAAGGGGAGAGCAGGAGATTAAGCATGCGCCAGGCCTAAAAGGCAGAAAAGCTATCACAAGCAGGAGGGACACAGGCCAAGAAGGATAGCACCACGAAGGGTAGACGGCTACGCAGGTTAAGTAGGCGAGGGTCAGTGAGCAGCGCCAGGGTACAAGGATATCAGGGACGATGGGCACCGGAATGGAAGCAGGCTAAGCAGGCTTCGCAGGCTCAGTAGCCGAGGGTTTCAGAATAGGGTAAGGGTTTAAGGGTTTGAAGCACCAGTACACCACATATAGGCCCGCGGGTGTCAGCATGAAACCTGCACCACTTCGGAGGCCGTCGATTTTTTTTTGCAACGGCAGGCCTGGTCGCACGGCGCCTCCGAGTTTTGCTTGTGGCGACAAAAACTTTCTGCAAGGCTGGGGCCGTGTACTAGCGGTTTAAGGGTTTAAGTCTTAAGGACACCGGGGAGGGGGGGCAGAGGGACAGGGCAAGTCACTGGGAACAATTTAGTACAAACACACAAGCAGCCAACGCTGCCTATCAACAAGGGAAGTGAAGCAGAACAGCAGCCCAAGGAAAAAAACACAACGGAACTCAATATGAAAGAAGATGACATGAGTGTTACTTTCATGGCGCGGTCACCTTCCTCTCAACTGCACCTTAACTCACACTATTAAGGTTCTTAACCCTTCTACTCATACGCCACTCAGATTGAGCTAATGATCTAATACCCAACCTACTCTTTTATAGCATCAAAAATCACTTCAAAATTCAAATCCCATTTCCCACTTCTCCCACTGTCCCCTTTCCCATTTCGAACCCGCTGGTATCCACCCCCACTGGTCGCATTACTTGAGGACTCCGAAAAGAAAAGAATAGAAAAAGAAAAAGAAACGAAAATTGAAAAACGCTGTAACGCAGCCGTGGGTAGACGGCTCAGCAAAGTAGTGATGCTCTTCACGTATGCGGCTTCTTGAGGCCGTGGCCATGAAACAACAATCCCCTTGAGGGCACGATATCAGATTCCTGTGCGTAGTCCAACACTGACATGAGCCACTGCATCACTGTCTGCGGTATGTCGCTCAAAAAAAATTGTAGGTGAAGAAGCTTCAAGAGTGCCACGTCGGGCCCAGGGTGCCCGGTACGGTACAGAAGCTTCAAGAGTGCCACGTCGGGCCCAGGGTGCCCGGTACGGTACTATCTTCCATGGAGAGGGTACGTCACCACTTTCAGCAGTCTGATCCAAAAGGACGTTTGCAGTCTTCGACACACCCACCGTACCCCAGCAATAACCACCTTGGCAGGGTAGCCGATTTTCCTCAATTCTTCGGCCAGCGTAAGAATGCTGCAGCACATCAAGCTGTCACAGTTGGAATTCTGGGAGATCCATTTGAGACCTTCGCGTTTTTTTCAGCAGGTGTTGCTCCCCACCAATAGATGGAGCCTTCACAGGCTGGGGCTCTTATCACCTCGCTAAGCAGGATCCCCCAGCCCACAAAGCTTCCCCCCCCCCCCACCTCCACCCCCCCCAAAAAAAAGTCCATTCAGATCTTCATTTCATTCTTTTTTTATATTCATTTCATTCCTTTTTTATATTCATTTCATTCTTTTTTTTATTCATTTCATTCTTCTTTTTATTTTCATTTCATTCTTTTTTTATATTCATTTCATTCTTTTTTATTTTTTTTTGAGTCCAGGTTGTTGTAGAGGTTGGAAGCCGGAGTATGACAGTCACCATCCGTAATCGGCCATTAGGTTATCTAGATGGTCTACAGAAGGCCCCATTCCTTATGAGACTCCCTCCTGTCACTCACTCTCATCATTTCCCCCTGGCACA